CACAGACAACCTCTCGTCAATATGCGTTTTTTGCATTGCATTGCTGCAAAAAACGCATAAAAAACAGCGCCATTGATAAACGAAAATTTTTGAAAGTTTCAGAAAACGAAAATTTTCGGATTTTTTCCGTATAAGCTGCCAGAAATTACTAAAAATTTGCAAGTGTCATAAATCGAACACGGATAAAAAAAGATTTTCTAGAATTTTCATTCAGCGCAGGTAGAAGGAAACAAGCAATGCATCTCAGATTTGTTGCTGCTGGTACCAACTTTAACAATGAACAGGCTTAAAAGTACTACTCCTTCATTTGGCGGTTGAAAAGCAGAGCTGATCTTTTTGATTAAAAAGATATGGTACACTTATTGTAGTATTAAAAAACAGTTTTGAAGAATTGACCAAACTACTGGAAATTTAAAAAAAAAATGAAATTTTCAGCCAACTGAAGAATCAAGATACCATCGTTAAGATCGTAGCAAATTACTGGCTTCTCGGGTATCATTTTTCCAAATTCCGGAGGCAAAATTTCCGTAAGCTTTTGATGATAGGAAAATCGCATGCATCTGTCCACCACCTGAATAATGAATATATACGTGGTGAATGTACAACAAGTTATGCAAAATACAGAAGATATACAGTGATAAATGGAGCGATTCATTTTGCTGGCTGATCATCATACCTCGCGTACAAACATATGCCTCGGCGCAAGACGGTCCAGCTCAACACAATCACACCAATCGGACCAGGACCAGCGGTACTCAAAATTCGACATGTGATAGCTGAACCAATCAATCAAGCTGAAATATGAACTAGAAAAGAGACTCAAAAAAGAAGGGCATTTTGAAACACTAAAAATAAAAAAAATAGCAACGCGCACCAGACTAGCCGGTGCGATCATACGTTTTGTGCAGTTCAGCTCTCGAACGATTGCCTATTAATGATTTCCACTGCTTTGTATTTTAGTCTTTGCAGAAGTAGTTCAAACATTGGAAAACGGTTGAAAATTTCATGCACCAGCGCACGAAAGCTGAATTCGAAACCCTGAAAGGAGAATATCTTTCCGTGATTCTCTGGATAATAGTTTACCTGCCAAAATTTTCACGAGGCTGGAAGTGATACTCAAGAGCGCGGGAACGCTGAATTTGAATAGGCAAGGTAGAGTGTGAGCATGGGGTCATTACCCGAAAATTTCAGCCTCCTAGACTGCGTGGTTCCCGAGATATTAATTTACCCATAAAAAACTTTCACGGGGCCATACGTGTTACCCGCGGGTGCGGGGAAGCTGAATTTAAAATTGGAAGCTGAATTTAAAAAGTGCGGGGAAGCTGAATTTAAAATTGTTGGTGGGGAACGTTCCCCTAAATTTTCAGCTTCCTAGCTTTTGTGGTTCCCAAGATGAAAGTTGCAGACAAGTTGCTGCGGACACACACACACACACAGAGAGAACCCCGTGACAACATGCGTTTTATACTAACACAGCAGAAAACGTATAAAAAACACATATTTCTATCGTTCAATTTTAGTCAGTAAGATAAATCATAATACTC